GGCCCAAAGAAACTGAACCCAAGTTTCCTGATTCTAAGGCCAACTCTGTACCCATTATGCCACTCTTCATGCATCTCCTATCATGTATTTGTACAGCTGACTTCTTATACCCAAGTAAAAGATTTTGCATTTATCCTTACTGAACTTTATTAAGATTCACCTAAGAGTTCAAGCTGATCAAGATCTTTTGGTAACTGACTGCTATCCTGTGAGCTAGCTATTATGTTATCTGCACCACCTTTGTATCATCTGCGAATCTGGTAAGCGTGCCATTTAATGCTTTAGCCAAGTGGTGGATAAAGATGTCAAATATCTAGATACAGAACCCTGAAACACTCAATTGCAGATGACTAGCCAGAACAATACTGAACCACAGAGAAAAGAATGGCTGTTTTCCTTGTTTGGCCATTTAACAATTTCTGGATGCATCTAATTGTATTATCATCTAGTCCCTCACAATCTTTTCCACAAAAATAGCATAAGATACTTTACCAAATGTATGTTAAAATCTAGGCAGACTGATTTAGTCCCCTGATCTATTATTTTAGTTACTGTCAAAAACAGAAATAAAGTTGGTTGGACATAATCTGTTCTTGATGCTGCACGTTCACCCTCTGTAAACAATGCTTCTCTAGATGTTCACTAACTGTCTCTTAAATGATTTACTCTAGAATTTCTCCAGAAATCAAGGTTAGGCTCAGTGGCCTGTAGTTTGTGGAATCTATTCTTTTTCTCCTTTTTCCTGAAATCCGGGAATTTTCTGTGGTGTTCCTCTCATCATTCTCTATGATCTTTCAGATATTACTAGGAGTGGCTCAGTAATTACAGCTGTCATTTTTTTTTTAAAACCTGAGGATATAGTTCATTGGATAGAGCACTACATCTGGAGATAAGAAGACTCAAGTTCAAATCCAGTTTCAGACAAGTACTAGCTGTGTGACCCTGGGCAAGTCACTTAACTTGTTCACCTCAGTTTCCTCATCTGTAAAATAGGGAATATGTGTGTGTGTGTGTGTGTGTGTGTGTGTGTGTGTGTGTTATATTACACATATGCTATATGTTATAGCACCTACCTCCCAGGGTCACTGTGAAGATTAAATTATAATTGTGAAGCACTTAGCACAGTGCCTGGCATATAGGAAGTGCTATATAAATGTTAGCTATTATGATATGGGCTAAACGACAAATTCATTAGACAACTACATGCTCATTTACTATCTCATTTGTCGTGGGCATCAATTCCCAAGTAAAAATTTTTGTTTGGTCACTTCCATGACAAAGGTTATACTTCCTGGAAGAAGGACACTAAGATTGAAGCACCTCTGCCTTTTTTCAGTTGTCAGTCATCATCATCCTACCTACTCTGAGTAGCAGTCCTATCTCCTCTTTCCTCCAAAATAACAAAAAAGCCAAAAGCCAAAATGCTTTTTGTTATTTTTAGTTTCACTGAGAGATCACATCTCACGCCGAGCTTTAGCATTCTTGACCTAAAAGTTCAAGCCTAGCAAGAGCTTTTGGAATCTGACTGCCAGCCGATGAGCTAGCTATCGTGTCATTCGCCCCAGCTTTGCATCATCTGTAAATCTGGTGAGCATGCCATTTAATCCTATTTTCACAGGACCAGGCCACTCTCTTCAGCCCGTCACCTACCTTTGCTTCTGTCTTCTGCATATACCTTTTAAAACTAAAAGATATTTGCTATTTTTGTCTGAACATTTTCCCAGCTGTCCCCCAGGTCTGAGATGTTCTCCCCCTTCTCCTCAACCTCCGGCTTCCCTGGCTTCATTCAAGTCTCAGCTAAAGTCCTATCTTTTTCAAGAAGACTTTTCCTGTCCTCCTTCATCTCAGGGCCTTCCCTCTGAGACAGTTTTTTTGCCTGTTACCTCTCTCATCACTCTGAGCCCAAGAGCATGGAGTGTGTTTTGGACGTGTTCAGTTTAAACTCTCTACAGGACATGCAGTTTGAGATGTCCAATAAGTAGTTAGAAAAGAGCAGAAAGAAGTAGAAGCAGCTACTGTAAATGGCTTTCTCAAGGAGTTTAGCCAGGAAAGGGAGGCGAGCTCTAAAATGATAACTAAAAGGAATAGATAGATCCAGTAAGGGTTTTTTTTTGAGAATGGAAGAGACACAGGTATATTTCTAGGAAGCAGGGAAGCAGCCAATAGACAAAGATGAAATTTTTTAGTACAGAGCCTGGCACATAATAGCACTCAATAAATGCTAGCTGACTGTGACTGATCTTTTTAGGCAGCTTTCATTTTTCCTCATCGTTGGAACTGCTTCCCTGTGGGTCTTTAGAATTTCATTCTTGAATGTTTTCCATCTCTCCTGGGCTTATTTTGCCTGTATAATTTTAGTCCATGAAATTCCATCTATCCTTCCTCTGAAATCTACTCTTCTCAAATCTAAGGTGTATGTCAGAATACACCTTTCTTCTCCTCTTTCACATACCCAAAGAAGGAAGTGGTTTCTTCTTTTCAATGTTTACCCATCATTTCTACTCCAGCAGCCTTCCTGTTGTTGAGACGTCCAATGAAGATTTTTCCCTCGTTGGCTCCTCCATGTTTTGGAAACAGAGATATCAAGTAGATGTTTGGATAATTACAATTGCCAGTCACTCCCATCTCATGCCTTTACAACTGGCTTATGATCCCTTCTAATTTTTTTCTTTCTGTCCAGGTGGTAAAAAATATACTCCAACAAAATCAAGTTTTCCTGCCTCCACTTATTTTTACCAAAATACTTTAGGATTTCTCATTTGCTTCAAGATTCAGCTCAACCACAAGAAGCAGCCTTTCCTAGTCCTCCTAGCTGCTGTTGCCTCCTCTACCCTTAAGGTTATCTTACAACCGTCTGTGTATGCTTTATAGATATCTATCTATATATACATGTTTTTCCTTAATTACTGCAACGACTATTTTTGACTTTTGCCTAGTGAAGTGCCTGGCTTAATAAGTAACTGTAGATTGATTGAGTCTCTCTCTCTCCCTTCTGATTCCTAGATTTCTGCTAAAACTATACCTTCTTAACATGCTATTCTACACAAGCAGATCCCACCTACCCCTTTTAAATACTCTCTTTCTTGTGAAGTAGGTATACCCAAATAGAGCCACATTCCCGTAATATGTTTCATGCCAAGATTCAGTGATTGCCTCCTTGTTTTAGGACCTCTAGTTCTTCTCTTTGTTGCCTTAAACATTTGAGGTCAGGGGTTTGACTACTAGCTCCTTTCTGGGATTGTCATCTATGATCTCCTGACTAAGTTTATATACTTTTTTCCTTCATTATAACTGTTCTCTTTGGTATCTACCATTAGTAATTCTGTCAAAAAAAGAAACTTGTTAGTCTGACATGATTTGCTCTTGATGAAGCCGTCCTGGCTTGAGATATTCACTGCTTGCCTTTCTGGACAGCTCAGTAACAATCTCTTTAATATGTTCTAGGAGGAGTGGGGAACCCGTGGCTTCAAGGCCATGTGACCTTCTAGATCCTCAAGTGAGGCCCTCTGACTGAGTCCAAGTCTTATAGAACAAATCCTTGATTAAGGGCAGGTTCCCCACCCCTGCAGACTTTTCCCAGGAATAAAAGTCAAGCTCACAGGCCTAAAGCTTGTAGATTCTAATCTCTTCCCTTTTCTGAAAATCAAGACATCTGTCCTTCTCTAGTCTTGTGGTGCCTCTCCTGTTTCCCTAAAGGTCCTATGCATCACCTTTCAGATATCGCTAACGCTGGCTTAGCGATCAGGTCTGCCAGCTCTGTCAGCACCCTAAGGTGCAGCTCGTCTGGGCCATGTGACTTGAATTCATCAGTACCAGCTAGGTGCTCTCCTTACAAATCTCAGTGGTAATTTTTATTCTGTTAGTTCTGCTGTAAAGGTCATTGTCCTTGGTAGAAAAAAAGTAAAGAAACAAAATAAGAATCAGCTGTTTCCTTCAGTAGGCAGCACTGAGGAAACCACGCCTCATACCCATGCCCTTCACTTTCTTGTCCAAGACTTCACAGTGTTCACCAGCACTGTTGGTGCTCCCTTTGGCAGGGTCCCTCCTGTCCACACGGATCACCAGAACTGGGCAGTGGTCACACATTCCAATAGGTCTCGGGGGAATGAGAAACGAGTACTTCATGGGACCATAAATGTACAGCTGGAAAGTACTCAGAGGCCATTTAGTCCAAACCCTGGTTTTACAGAGGAGGAAACAGACCCAGAGAGGTCAAGAGACTGGCCAAAGTCTCACAGGTCTCAAGCGAAGGTCCTGGGATTATTTGCAATATCTTAGATACAGGCCTTGGGAAGACGACAAACCTATCTGTTGTTGTTATCAGTTTGGTAATTACCTCCCTCAGTGCAAGGAAGTCACTGACCACCATTATCTTTCCTTTCTTCTTCTGACTTTTAATAGATGACCTGTCACATGATGCCTTGCTATGGCCCTTTTACTTCATTCCTTGGAGGACTACTTATTCCTCAGATCCTCCAGTTTCCTCCTCTTCGGGAAGAGACTCAAATTTGTTTTTTAAGCTGAAAGTTTATACTTTTCCATTTCCCTATCTTCCTCCTCTGTGCGACATTTTTCCACTCTCCAACTTCCCAATAAGGATCAAGCTATCCCTCCTCCACTTCAGATTCTCACTCTCAACCCCCACTGAAGAACTGCTTCCTTTTTTTTTAAAGGAATATTTTGTTTCCCCTAATAACCTGGAATATAGAAAGGCATTCCTTGAATCCCCTCATCTTAACTCCTAGGAAGAAGTATAACCTATACTTGGAACATAAATAGCAGTTGCCAGATCAGTCATTTATGTAATTTTTTTCCTCCGGTTAATATAGTCTTCCCTTTTATTCTTGTTCTGCTGCCCTTGTACTTCCTGTTATTCTTCTAATTTTTTATATCCTCCTAATGAACTGCTTTTCATTCATCATTCTCTTTTATTCAGAAAAAGAGGAAAACATTATCCAGTTCTGGCTTGGTCAACAGTCAGGAGAAAAAAAAAAAGTTACCTTTCCAAGTGACCCAAATGCAAAAAGACCAAGGTCTTCATAAGATGTGACAGCTGTCAGAAGGAAAAAGAACAATGATATTTTTTAACATCTACATTACAAAAAAGAATATTTGGTATATTTGATATCATTTTACCAAAAATTTATTTATTATCATAAGCAAATTATATCTATTATTTTCATGGAATCAATCAAACACAGAATAGTTCTTACAGAGAGATGTTTTGTGACCTTCTACACAGAAAGTAAGAGCAGTTGTCTCATTTGTGAAGTATATGTAAGAAAGCTTTCTGATACCCTACAATTAAATTTTGTTGAATTTGAAGAAATATAATCCATTTACTAGTACTTCTTGATCCAGAACTTCAAACTGTAAAGGTTTTGGATGGTCTTATAAAACTGGAGCCTAAATAGATATCATACCTCAGAGGTTGCCTCAAAATCTGTAAATTAAGCTATCATTCCAAGAAAGGTAACTAAGAAGTAACACTAGCTACTTTGGAAAAAGTCCTGTCAATTAACTACACTATAATAATTTAAAAAGGGACAACTGTGACGAGTGACCACAGATCTCTAAGGCTGCAAAATCCACTATAGTATTTTCACTATGTAAACTTATACAGGAAATAGGCCTTGGAAACTGAAGACATAAAGAGGTTGATCAAATAAACAAGGTCTTACTTAACTTTCAAGGATTTTTTTTTTCAGATCACTCAGTATAATAATAATAATGTACTTTTTTTCATATAGCACAATAATGCTACTGTCACACTGGTCTATAAGTGAAGGTTCTAAGTGCAGGCTTTCCAAAATTCTTATTACAGGAAAATAATTCCCTTAAGTTGTTTATTTTGTAAGCCTTTCATTATACATTCTTTTAAGCACTTCACAAAACTATAAAAACTTTTTTTAATTAAAATGAGGGAGGCAGTGTGGTGAAGTGGAAAGAAAACTGGAGTATTTTCCAGAAGCCCTGTGCCTCAATTTCTTCATATATAAAATGTGGGGGTTGGACTAAACAATCTCCATGGTCTTTTACAGTTCTAAATCTCTTCTGAGACCTTCCCCAGATGTTAATACTTTCTCCATCTTCAAATTATCTCACATTAAAAGTGTTGTATCCCACCATACCATGCCATTAGAATGTAAGGTCACTGAAGGCAGGGGCAATTTCATTTTTGTTTTTGTATCTTCTGTGCTTTAGACATACTAGGAACTGCTTCCAAAGTTATCAATTTTACAGTCAGTCAGTAAATATCTAAGTCATTTAGATAAATTTTTCTAAAAACTTATGCATGGTTTAGTTACTTTTAAACAGTAGCACTAAACAAACATTTATCATTAGTAAAAGGAAAAGTGTCCTCATTAAAAGGTACCAAGCCATAATTTAATTTCATCAAATGAACATCATTAATCTGTTTTTCCACCTAAAAATTAAATAACTTTTACTTCTCTAGCAATAGTAAACAAAATTGATCGCTTCTAGGAATGTAAACTATGTACTTATTTTCTCTATGAAAATTCTAACATAATTTCCAAAGATACTGGATAAGGTACACTATAGCAATAACTATTCTGTTTTCTCTAGTAATTTGTGAATAATCTAGTCTGAAGTACACTGTGGTATAAACAGTACTAGACTTGAAGAAAAGAGATATGTGTTGTAGTTCCAACTCTCTAAGTTTCTCAAGGTATTATTTCTTGTCCTCTCAAGGCTAAGAAGATCATCAACTACAACATGTCAAAATATCTCTGATAGCGATGGCCCTGACATCTTCCTAGCTGTGTAATCTAGGGTCAAGTGAATTCACCCATTCTAGGATTCAGGTTCTCATCTCATCATAAATCATAAGATTGTATTAGATGATCTATGAAGGACCATCTACCTCTAAAATTCTGTGATCACAGCTGGGAGTTAACTCAATTTTGAGATCAACAAAAAAGATCACTGAGTATAGTAAGTTCCCAGAGTGAAACACTGTTCTCAGTTGTGAATCCTGAATTTCCAGTTAGAATATCTGTATAGTGATTACATACTATCATGTCACAGGACCACAGAAGTGCAAAAATTATGGGCACTCTTCCACATCTGAGACAAGGATGATAATTTTTATGCTTCACAATCTTGAGTCACAATTTAAATGAACTATCTTCATTTATTTAATATATATGCTGTTGATACTCTTAAAAATCCTGTTATTTAATTGCTAAAAACTTTAAACTCCCACCTCATCCACACCCCAAAATATTACTCGATTAAATCAGTGTTTCACTTTCCACGTCTATTTCCTGAAATTTTTGCTTGTCTTATTGCTGTTAGGCATTTGTTTCTTCTTGTCCCTCTCCTTCCTCCATATGGCTGCCACTGTTAAAGCTGACTTACAAAGAAACAAGCACATTGGGAAACATCAAAATAATGCCAGGAATGATTACCCTCTCTAATTGCATAGCCTACGGTACAGAAACAATCTGAAAGAGGGAATTACTCCCATCTTTTACAGGAATTCATGTTAGCAGTACCTGGCACGACCCATGTTAAGTAAATAACTGGAAGCGATCATCAGCGTGTGAGAGGAGTCTATTTTCAGAAACCTTTTATATACATATATATTTTATATTAGAGAAATCAAGGTTGTGTTTTGAGGAGACTGAAAGTCTGTAAATCTTGATCAAATAAACAGGAGAGAAAATCTTATTTAGTGTGCCATTGAGGCGTATGTCATGACTATTTTGGTCTGGCAAAAAGTTAAGTCTTCACAGGAACAGTTTAGAAAGCTGCTTCTCATGAACATGTGGAATATTTCCATCTAGTTACTGTCTACTCTGCATTTTCCCTTCAATGAAAAAGGACAATTAATAAATCTAGGGTGAAATACAAAGCTCAAGCTTCTCAGCAGCAGCAATATTATCTTTGGATCTAGACTGAGGAACATAAGTTATTTAAATATAGTTCAACCCTCAGAAAGTTGGCCACATGGAATGATCCCTTATTATTTCGGAATTTCCTTATTTGTAATGTTTTCCAACCTTTTCATCTCATTTCCCCTCGGTTGCAAGATGCTCATAAAGGTCAATTATCTAAAGTCATTAATTCATTCACTAACTCATCAAATAGTTGACCTTCACCATTTTTGACACAGTTAGTGGCTCATCTTTGAAAAATATTTAAACTTCACCTTAAGGAAACTCTGCTTTCTAGATTACCTCTCTGACCATTTCTTCTTTTTTGATTTCTGGTTCTCTTTTTTTCACCACCTACGTTCCCTTCCCTTAGCAAACTAATTATTGAACATATTTTCAATTACCAAATATATGGAAAACCTCAAGATCTCTAGCTCTGACTTCTCATTATTTTGTAGACAACCCCACTTAATATTCTTTAATAGTATATACCTTGCCATTTAAACATGTTAAATGAATGTTCCCTGTTGCCCAATTTTTCATTGCTTTCAAAACATTTTTTGGGGGCTATCTTCTCAATCATACAAGCTGGTAATCTTAAGGTCCTCAATGACTCCTTTCTATCCTCAATTTCTTCCATGTAGTTCATCCCTGAATCTTGTCAATCCTTGCTACCTGGTATATTTCTTGTATCGCATAACATTTGCTTCTTGCTATCTTAAAAATCATAGCTTTAGATTAGCCATTGACTACCTCCCTAAACCCCCTGACTCAAACCTGTCCTCTTTCATTCTATTCTACTCAGTAATAAGAATCATCTTCCTCAAAAATTGTTTTGAACCTATCTTTTACTCACTGTCACAGTACTTCTCCAGAATTAAAAAAAAAATTAAAGGTACTTTTCCATGTTTGAGACATTATGAGCAATGTCTTGGAATCCTATAATGCTTCTCAGTAGAAGGGAGACCAGCATCTATGAAGGAAGAGGGCCTGGATTTTAATCCCAGTCTAACATCTATTACCTACATGACTTTAGGCAAATCACATAATTCCTCCAGAATTCATGTAAATGTATTTGATTGATTTCTCATATAAATGCAAAATGAAGAGGTTAGATTAGAGGACCACTAATGTCCCTTCCAGCTCTAAATTTATGTTTCTATTAGATTGTGACCTCTTACATCAAAATTAAAATTTCTGACTGCAGTCTTTAAAAAGTTTACTTAAGTACCTTGATCTTTCACTCCATCATGTCTCATACTTTCCATTTCCTTTCTTTTAATTTGCCATTTCCTGCATCTTGAACAATGATCTCAATTCTCTCAGCCAAAACCTACCCCACCCTCATTTTAAACTCTCAAATCTTACCTCATCCATACTATGTTTCCAGATCAGTTCCACCAACAATATAGCACTCATTTATAAGGTTCTGTACACTGGCAGATTATTTTTGTATTTCTGTTGTTTGTTTTTATACATTATATTTGTATTCTGCCTCCTCCATTATAGTGTATACAACTCTTAAGCATGAAGCATTCTTTCTACTGGCTTTAAAATTATCTCAGCACCTAAAGATGCCTAAAAAAAGATATAAGCTGAGTTACATATTAGAAAATGAACTAAACGTTGCATTGTGTATGAAGAAAATGTGTTTTCTTTGTTCAGCAAAGAGGGAGCTGAGCTTAACCTGAGTTCTGAAATAAAACTGTCCCATCTAAAATCTGAATCCCACATAGCAACCAATTCTAATACTACCTCAAGATTAATGCAGAGATGATCTATCACTCAGGACCTAGAAATATGTCTTGGGACTCAAAGAGTCCAATACAGAACCTGAAGAGTATGTTCCTGGCCAAAGAAGGAGGCCCTTTGCTTCTAAAAAGGGGAGAAAAAAATTCTCCACACTTCTAGCCCCATTAAAATTCATGACAAGGTTATCTACAGAAGGTTTGTATAATTCTTTGCCTGACTGATGAATTACAACTGGGTATTACAACTGCTACACGAACCTTTTTTATACAATCAAGTACATGTTTTCAAAATGTCACTGATATTATTAAAAGAAGCCTACCTCAGTAGAGTATTTTTATAGTGATTGAAGGAATTCAATCAACAGAAGAAGGAAGCAGTAGTATCTGTACAGGACCATGAAGAAGCCAGTTGAAGAACCCAAGTAAGTTATTGAGAGCAAAGGAAATTAAGAAGGAAAGAAAATGGTTTCTTCTACTTTATAATGCCCTAAAGTAGGAAAAACAACATAGATAGATATTAGATTTTCAGAATTATCAGATAGGTTGGTATGGGTAGATGAGAAATTTATATTTTAACTAGGAAATATCTAGCTTAACTAAGGTATTATTTATTCATAATCTGGAAAATATACATAACAATTACAATAGGTTAAAATCCTTTTTTTTCAATTGGTCTCCCAGAATTAAGGTCCAAGATAGGAAGAATATAGGATAAAAAGCCTTTACTAAAGCTTCAAAAATAAGGAATAATAATTACTTTATATAAAATAATAAAAATGAGAGGCAATTGGTTTAGTGGATAGAGGACTACAATCTGCAGTAAAGAAGACCTAAGTTTAGGTCTTTCCTCTGACATGCAATAGCTATGTGACCTTGGCAACAAGTCACTTTACCTCTCAGTGCTCCAAGCCATTTTAAGATTATAAATTACAGAGAAGTTGTTCATTTGTATCAGAAAAGGGAGACTCCACCCTAAGTGTTCCCCATACTGTTGAAATCATAGGTCTAGATTTTTTAAAAAAGTTAAATTCAAAAATAAGGCAAATCAGATTTTGAGTCATCCTTTCCTGCGTATGAAGATGATGTTACAGACCATGATGAGCAAAGAATGCCATGGTGACATATGTGCATTGACCTGTCCACTCTCTGGAGCCCTCTGTATGCCCAAGGGCACTTGTTTGCTGGATGGCTAGCCAAAGAAGTGAAGGTGAGCATAAATACCCACTTATTTTTTCACCAGAGGCACAAGGGCTAAATAATGTATGTGACTTTCATTCATCTAGATGCTAGTTATCCCCTAAAATGAAAAGGATATTGTAACACTTGCTGGAAATACAACTAAGAATGCTAGTTTTCTCCTCTTTCTAGCAGCATCATTGTTTTAATGTATTTTCTACAAGATTGGAACTGTCCATCTTAGCCTTCTGGGAGGCCTCAATGCATCTGTCCTGTCGTATCTATTCATCTCAAAGTATTTTAAGGCCCCTGAGGTATGTAAACAAATGGCAAGTTTAATGGCTGCTTTATTCTATAAAATACATATGATCTTTTTACCTACCTGTCTGAATACACATAGTAAGAAGAAGATGAACTGAGTAAGAAGCCAGAATAGCAACCATCAGCAGCATGACACTAAAATATAAAACAGCACATGGTTAAACAAGTTTGCTTTTGTCCCTTCTTTCAACAGAAAAAAAAAATCCCTACCTCAAAAACGTCCTTACTTACTAATCAGGTTTGTTAACTGCTAGTGACATCAGTCTAATGATCTTGCTATATATCACTATTTTTCTATATTTATATGCTAATCAATCAACCAGCTTTAAAAAAGGGGCTTACTATGTGCACAACGCTAGGTGCTGGGGATACAACTAGAAAGAATGAAACAACCATTGGTCACAAAAGATTTACATTCTAATAGAGAAGGCAACAAGTACAAAAGAAAGTATGTTTAGTATAATAAAGTGAAGAAATACAAATAAATACAAAGTAGTTAAAGACAAAGTAATTTTGGAGGGAGGAAACTAAAAGCTAGGGAATTAGGAAAAGGTGGTGCCTGAGATATGTCTTAAAGGAAGAGAGGAATTCTGTGAGGTGGGGGTAAAGATGGACTGAATATTTGAAAGCATACTAAGCTTTGCAGTTCTAAAATCCCATGAACTATCCCTCCCTCAGGGCTTTCTACTTAGAGATAAGGACCCTATTTTGACTGTACTTGTATTAAGTTTAACCTACAAATCCTGTCTTCTTCAAAGACTCATAAAATTATAATCTGAAATGTCAGCCAATCATATATATTGTTTCTAAGGACTAAGATGCAGGTAATGAAAAGTACCATATGCACAATTCCCTTGGGAATACAAAATCCTCAGATCTCATAGCTACTCACTAAGAAATGAGACACTACTGCCCTGAGGGCTCTTCTCAGGAAGCTGCCAAGGAGCACCCTACTGTGTCCAAAAGATAACCAGGAAAGGTGTGGAAGAAGCTTTGTGTCCTACTTAATGCTTGACCTTATTGTAAACATCAGTGTTAATAAGTAGCAAAAATAGAGTAAGGTGGGGATGCTCAAGTTTTATATAGAATTAGTATGACATAACAATCTACAACTCTCATAAGGTTTTTAATGACTTGAAGAACAAACAACTTTTATTAATCATTTTCCAAATCATTTAAATATCCAACATTATATTCAAAATTAATTTTTTTACCTACATCACACACACAAACACACATGGCCCAGAGCTGTGATTTTATCAATGTGGGAAACTAAGCAGCACAGAAATTCCTTCCATCAAAGCAGAACAATCACTCATCTATAATACAGTCTTAAAGAACTCTCTAGGGCACCAAAGGGTTAAGTGATTTACCTACAGTCACACACCTAGTATGTGTCTGAAATAAGTCTTCAGTCTGGGTCTTCCTGACTCTAGTGCTGACATTCTATTCACTAATACATGAAGTTTCTCATATTTGTATGAGGCCAAACTAAAGATATATCTGGTTTTCAAGCTGACAAAATAAATGTATGAAACCTAGATTCTATTTACTATGTTTTGTCTAATGTATGGTTTATAATAGTCTTGCTTCAAAATAATGAAAACTATTTGGTCTTTTATGAAAACATAAAATTAATTAAGAAAATCGGGCAATTGGTGCAAATTAATTTCCCTAAAAATTACAGGAGGTAGACAAAAAAAATTCTTAAATGGAATAGAACTAAATTTCCAATGCTTCGTTTTAAATTTATGACTGAGCAACTATTAATATTTGTTGCTTTAGGCGAAGCCACTGTAATGAAGACTAACTGAATGGTTTTCAAAAGTGAGGTCTATGAGACTGTTGGGAGAAAGGATTACAGAGAAAAAACTAGTAAAGGGAAGAATACGATTATATACTTAACCTTCCTTTTCTAATTGATAAGTAATCTGAATAACAGATAAACCTTTGTTCACTTTGACTAAAATGACTCAGAATGAATCAATACTTAAAGGTATGACAGGGATCAACTTTTTCATCAGGATTTTATATTATGTTATATTTATATTTATTACATATATATGTATATTATTTTTATTTTATATTAAGACACAAGCTAGAGGGTAAAACTTTTTTTTTCTGTAGATAAGTAACTGTTTTAAATCAGATTCCATTAATTAATAATGAATTTTTCCACTAATGTCCCATTTGTGGAGGTGATTCTGAGCTCTTGAAGGCTATGCCAGCAGAGTTTAAAGTCAAGCAGGTTCTGATAACCTGGAAAGGTTTGGAATAACAGGCTTAGATTATATGATTTTTGTTTGAGTGCTAGCTTTACCAGCTAATTTAGAAGAGGCTCATCAACCACAGGGTTAGCCACTAGAGGATAACTTGGTTCATAAGTAGCTCAAAAAAAAACTGAGGAATAAAATAAATTTATTTCAATCTGCAGCAGTAGAAGGAGTGAAATAAAAAATTTCTAAGGTAAAAAGTAATATTTAAGAGGATTTTGTTACATATAGAAAGAAGTAATATAAAGACTTCATGTAGCCTATCCTCAAATGTAGGCAGTACTCCTAAAATAAAATCGGGGAATGGCCAAGTCTTTTTACTTTATTTTGGCTAGTTATCTGAGAGTCATATAAATGAACGTATAATTATTAATGACAATAGGACCAAGTAAAAGAACACTTACCTAAATACAATAATACCTGTATTGGCCATAATGTAGGCTAGACCAAGGATGCTACTTCCCATGATGGCATTCATTAAGTTAAACACTGAGAAACTAAAAGAAACTCCTGAGTATTCGTCACTTTGGGGCCCCTATAAGCAAAAAAATTTAACAGTTTAAGTATTAACTTACTGAAAGTCAAATCGATCCAAGAAATTATTTGTACAGATATCCTAATTTATTCTTCCAAATTTTCCCCCCAAATTGAAAAAGATATTATGGTACTCGGTAAAGATACAAAAAAGAATGTATATTTTCTCTTCTGTGGATACTGCTGTATTGATAAAAATTTCAACAATATTGAAACCGTTTATCCTAGTCTCTCAAGATGCCCCAATTCTATCCTGCCAGATATGACCATCTGAAAGTGGTTACATTTCCCTGTTTCTCCCTATATTCCAATCCTTTGGACTAATGGCCCAATGTAGCTCCAAGAGTTTGGCTATGAGTATTCTTTTAATTTACTGGGGGTCCTGAGAGTCTTTGTGGTAGGATATGGAGGACAGTCACCTAAAACCAATTTGCTTCAGAACAAATTATTTCTTGGTGCCAGCTCAGCAAATGTATACTGGTTTTGTTGTTTGTTTTCTTTTCACCAACTCCGAGGGATGGATAAATAAAAAAGCATTTAGTTAGTACTTACTATGTGCCAAGCACTGTCCTAAGCATTGGGGATATAAATAGAAAAAGCAAGGGAGTCCCTGCTCTCAAGATGTTCACATTCCAACTGGATAAGACAACATATAAAGGAGGGTTCCGTTTCACAGCAGATGGAAAAGCCAAGTGGAACTAAATGTCTGGCAGGCAAAGTGGTATGGCAGATGTTCCCTGACCAAAGACTGTTGGAAAAAGGGTAGTGGGTCCAAGGATCAGAGCAGATCAAGGCTTTGGGCTACCTTCCGAAAAGGTAGATATGAGGGGGTCAGCATTAGCTGAAAAGGGGTATTCAGTGTCTAGTAGAGAATATGGAATTAATGTTGGGCTGGAGAAGGGGAAGCTCCTTGGCTTTTGATCCTGGCAGGTTGCTGGTGGTACTGTTCCAGAATCATCAGATTACCAGTTGCTTCAGGAGAATTGGTTTTAGGCAAACTATTTTCAGGGCATCCATAAAGATGGAACGTAAGTCACATTCCAGTGGCACAGAGGCAATAAGCATCTCAGAGAAATAAAAAAAAATCAATATAATCCATGTTTAAAAACAACTAAGTCCACCTTATTTACCATAGGATTTGCTAGAAATAATTGCTAGTATTATCTTGAACTGACATCTCAAAACCCAAGTAAATCTAAGGGAAGATGGTTAAGAGTGGTTAAGAGAATCAAACAATTTCAGTTCTTCAAATCTGGTACAGGCCAATTTGAGAGAGTATTCTCCCAAAAAGGGTTTGGGTAATAAATCCCCAGAAGCTAAATATAACTTTTTTTGCAGTGACTTGAGATGAAGACTCGAAGTCAGATGACACGGCAATGTCTTTATCCTAAACTTTAGGATCTGAGAACTGTTAATGTTTCCATAAAGATTTTCTCTTTTTTGGAGATTGGGTAGATTTGAAGTCTACTGATAAACTATTTCTGCGCCCTGCCTGTCTCACATGTGTGCCTGTATCCAAGTGTATGTGCCACATGTGTGAACCTGTAACAGCACTGACCTTTGGAGAAGACTTGAGTTTGAGCCCTACTTCCACTGCCTACTGTTGTGGGACTACAGATGGGCAAGCTAATTTCTCTCTCTTAGCCTCAGTGCTTTCATCTGTTAAAATGAGTATAACATTACTTATTCTACTTACCTCAGTTGTTCTGAGAAAAGCATTTTGCAAAATATAAAGTGATATATAAATGTAGGCTACTAATATTATTACATAAGAACTCCCCAAGCCATAATATACAATTCAGCTGGAAAAAGAAGTATCTCATGATACTACTTTAAGTGGCATACTTTCTGGAAATGGAAACAGGAAGATGATAAAACAGTGACAAATAACAATGAATCACAGAACCCTAGGCTTGGTCATCTCATCCAGCCCCCAGCTTCCCTTTTAGCACTAAGTATTCCACCTAAAGTAGCAGAAGCCTTTATTTTGCAATGGAGTATAAACTACCCATATTTCTGAGTTACTGAAAAAGAAAGGTTTGTTTCGTCTAAACTTGGTGCTGCTATTCTAGGTCACTTTCCTTGTTCACTCCCCCTCTTTGTCTTTCTGGCTGTTCCAGGAACAAGACCCTCCATCTCTCAGCTTCAGGCATTCTCTCCTTGCCTGGAATACTCTTCTTCCTCTCCACTTCCTGGCTTCCTTTAAGTCTCAGCAAAAATTCTACCTTCTACCGGAAGCCTTTCTCAATGCCTCTTAATTCTAGTATCTTTCCTTTGTTATTTATTTTCTTACCGTTCTGCATATTGCTGGTCCCTATGTATTTGTTTGCTGGTTGACTTCTCCCCATCCCCCTTCCCCCATTTAGACTGTGAGGTTCTTGAGGGCAGGGACTATCTTTTGCCCTTCTTTGTATCCCCAGGGTTTAGACACATAACAGGCACTTAAAAACGCTGCTCTACTACAGATTTGTTCCAGAAAACAACCCTGGTTCACTCCCCCAGGCCCAAGTTTTAAGTCACACAACTAGCCTGAGGTGGCCTCTAGTTTAGGTGGCCTTTCAACATTCCTAGAGTCCAAAGTCCAAATCACAATGATCCCATCTTTCTCAATTCTATTTAGATAGGATTGTCAAATACTTATAATCCTGGCCCTGTAACTTTGGGACTGAGAATGAATTAAATGGAACAGGATCAAACTTTAAAGCTGAAAGATATCTTGCAAGCAATCTAATCCAATGCCCTCATTTTACAGATATGGAAATTGGGACCCAAAAGGGTAAAAATAACTTGTCCGAGGTGACATAGCCACTTTTGGTTTCCTCACTCCTGATTCAGTGCCTTTCTCACTTAATAATTCCAGGACCAAAGACTCACTTGATACTCCACCTCAACGCCCCAATTTAGAATGGAGGAGTTTCTAGGCTTGCTTATACAACTATTATCATTAGAGAACTTCTGAGTTACAAAAAAAAAAAAATGAAAGACTATCTGATCTGGAGGGTATAACCTTTTCTATGTCATAGACCTTTCAGCAGTATGGTGAAGCCTACGGACATCGTCTCGAAATTTTAAATGCATAAAATAAGATACAAAGATTTACAAAGGAAACCAATTATACTGAAATAAAGATATGTTTTCTTTTCCCCTTCCAAGATCATCTCCCAAATACTAGGTTATGAACTGTGATCTAGACTAATGTGTTTGGGGTTTTGGGGGGGTTTTTTTGTTTTTGGTTTTTTTGGTGAGGCAACTGGGGTTAAGTGACTTGCCTAAAGTCACACAGCTATTAAGTGTTATATGTCTGAGGCCAAATTTGAACTCAGGACCTCCTGACTGCAGGGCCCTTGCTCTATCCACTGTGTAACCTAGCTGCCCAGAACTAGACTAATATGAAACTGAACAAGGATGACCTTTACAACATCAATTAATCAAAAATATTTATTAAGCACCTACTGTGTGCCAAGCACTGTGCTAAGCACTGGGAATACAAAAAAAGGCAAAAGACAGTTCCCGCCCTCATGGAGCTTACAATCTAGAGGAGGAGACAACATGCAGTCACATATATACAAAGCAAGCTATATACAAGATAAATAGGAAATAATTAAAAGAGGAAAAGCACTGGAATTAAGAGAGGTTGGAGAAGGCTTCCTGTGGAAGGTGAGATTTTAGTTGGGACTTAAAGGAAGCCAGGGAGGTCAGTAGTTGGAGTGGAGGAGATAGATCATTCCAGGCATGGGACAGAGCCAAAGAGAACGCCTTGAGCAGAAAGATGGAGTGTCTAGTTCCTGGAACAGCTGGGAGGCAGGTGTCACTGGGTCAAAGTATTTGTGTGGGTGTGGAGGGAGTCATTTCAAAAATCTGTTTGAAGAGCTACCTCTGGTGATGTGGGATTTACTAATCAAATCAACAAACATTTATTAAATCGCCTACTACATGCCAAGCAAAGGAAGTAAAAAGGAGGTCCTGCTCTCAGGGAGTGAGGGGTCCAAGTGGGGGAGAGAAAATGCAAAGACCTACACACGCTGAAGTCGGGGCAGCCTCCGAGGGAAGGCGCTGTGATTGAGGATTGGGGGAAGGAGGGTGTCAGGAAGACCATCTTTCAGAAGGTGGCATTTTTGCTGGGACCTTAAGTCGGGGAAGCCAGGAGAGAGAATGCCAGGAATGTGGGGCGGGGGTGGCTGGTGCAGTGCCCCATGAGGGGGCCGGGGTCCCTGGATCGCTGAGCGCTTGGAGGGGAGGGAGGCGTCAGGGTGCGAACAGAGGCTTTTCTATTCGATGCTGGGGAAAGGACGGGGAGCCGCTGGAGGGTACGGACCGGGGTGGGCAGCGCTGTCCACCTGCGGCAACTCCAGGGGGCTTCCCTCCTACCAGTGACCCTTGTGGCCAGGCTGGGGTCTGGGGCTGGGGGGAATCTTAGCGAGCCCCTCAGTTCGTGCAAGGACCAGGGACTCCAGGGCTTGTCAAGGCGCCCCGCCGGGAGCGGGGGTCAGAAGCCCGGGGTGGGGGCTGACTCTCCTCCACGTAGGGCTCTTCCCACCTCCCCACCGCCACTCACGCTGCGGAGCAAAGGGCTCGACTCCTCTAGCGCCTTCTCCTCCTCCTCCTCCGTCTCCTCTCCCTGCTCCGGCCGCGCGGAGACATACCAGCCCCGGCCGGCGGCGTTGATGCTCGCCCAAGACCTCTCCATGCCGCCTCAGCCGCCTCCTTCTCCTCCTCCTTCTGTCTCACGCCGGCCCCGCCTCCAACTCCACGGAGGGACCGCACTGCCTCCTCGTGCGCACGCGCGCAATTCCAGCTGCGGCCGCAGAGGGGCGACCCTCTGGGCCCAGCCTCGTTTCAGGGCGGGGGGAGGGGAGAAGCGAGGAGGAGGGAGAAATAAGCGCGATTTGATGACGTTTACTCTGGGCCCGCCCCTCTCCTCCAACAGAATAACGACGCCATCGCGCCCCGGCCTCCCCACGTGCTGGGCTTCTTCCTCTGTTCTGGATTATGAGGTGCGAGTGGTTTGTGTGAGTCGCTGCGGCCTGGAGCTAGAGGCGGGAGCTGACGGGGTTGGAGGTGATGTAAGGGTAAGGGGACAGAATCAGGAGCAGTGGCCACTGGGGTCTGGTTTCCTGGAGGTGGTGAGAGGACCCGAATGGTGGAGCGGAAAGTGGCTACTGACAACTCCCGTGGTCTGTCTTGCCTGACTTAAGGAAAATCTCGCGATGTTACCTGGAGGGTCAGAGGTCACAGTTCTGCGTTTGCGATTCCCGCACCCTCTCCCAAGGGCATCTCCGAGCCGGTGGTTCCGGGTCTTATTTAGGTTTTTGAAAGATGGGAGCTGTCCTTTTGGTTTAAGTACCCAAATCTTTGGGGTCTGAGTGTCATCTGGATTTAGAGCCGGAAGGGAAGTCTAGTCCAGCCGCCTTATTTTTCCGACTGAGGAAACTGAGGCTCAGAGAGGTCACAGCCAGTAAGTGGGAGATCGGGAATTTGAATGAAACCCGGTCCTCAGCCTGCACATGCGTCCCTCTTTGTACTGCAGTGTCAACAGTTTACTTGTCGCAAGACCCATGGGTAGGGTGGCGGTGATGACGGTTTGTACTTTTAAAACGCTATGGAAGCGTGAAAAGCTATGTAAAGACCTTAGTCCTCAAATCCCAATTTTTCAGAATGCTTAGAATTGTGAATGCAAAATGTTCCTTCCAGTAAAGGCTGAGACCATTTTGTCAGGAATAATCAACAGCACAGTTATTTAAACAGGTTAAAAGAATTGTTTAAAATAAATCATTGTTAAAATTGTGTAAATGTTACTTGGGGAGCTAGGTTTTTTATTGTTATTCAAATGATTTTTAAACCTACCCCCTCTTAACAAGTCGTTCAGTTGAATTTTTTTTTTCTTTTCTCTCTGGAGTTTATTGAAGAGATAAATATCAGCACCTGCTTTTTGTACTATTATTTGTGGGAAAGTGCATTTTGCAAATAGAGTTAATTGGTACCATATTTATACAGCATATGCACCTACTTAGTAAACGCCAGTGGCTCCCTATTGCCTCCAGGATAAAATAGAAACTCTTCTTTTTTGGCTTTTAAATCTCTTTATGAACTGGACTGGACTTATTTTTCCAGCTGTATTATACATTGCTCTTTGATCCAATTTCTCCTGTACAAATCTTGTATTTTTTTGCACCTTGCTTCTCCTATCAGACTGTGAGCTCCTTGGGAAGAGGGATTAGTTTTTTGCCTTTGTGTCTCTAGCACTTGGAACAGTGCCTGGAACGTAGTAGGTGCTTATTAAATGCTTATTGACTTTGATCTTGCCAAATTGGCTGCCACTGTTCTTCACAAAAGGCATGCATTTGTACTGACTATACTGCATACCTGAAATGTATGTCCTCCTCACCTCTGCCTCAGAATCTCTTACTTCCTTTAAGATCCAGTTCAAGTTACCATCTTCTACAGGAAGCCTGTGTTGCTCCCCCCAACTATTAGTGCCCTCCCTCTCAAACAATTTTGTATTTATTCAGGCTTCTTGAATAGTTTTTTTCACTTTTTTGCTTGTATTCTTAACTATTTGAGAAGTAGCTCCATGAGCAGCATCTGACCCATTGTGAATTATTTCATGCAGTTCTTGACTTTCACTTTCACAAACCAGTATTACTGAATATTTTGCATTTTAATTTATATTTTTTTAAACTTTTCTTTTTTAGGATTTTGTGGAGATCATTTGGATACTCAGGATTTCTGAAAACATGTCATTATAGAATAATTACATCAAATTCACAGATTCCTTTCACTTGGATATCACTGGCACAGAGTCTTCATAAAACACTGGGTTTTTACTTGTCCAGTCAAAGAAACAGATTCTCTACAGTGCCAGAAATAGACATGAACAAAATTGACCCTGAATTGTATTCCCCACCTTCTCAAGTTCGTGGAATGACAAAACTTGATAGAACTGCATTCAAAAAAATAGTTACTATTCCAGTACTTAAAGTAAGGAAAGAAATGGTAAATAAATTAGTGAGATCCCTAAAAAAGGTACTGTTACAGCGTCCAGGCATAAAACGTGTGATTGATGATCCAAAAGATGGAGGAAATAAACTTGTAATGTTGGACCCTCATAGGATAGTTTCTGATGATTCCTTTGAAGAATCTGAACGTCTTCTTTTAAAAGAGCTTAATGTTAACCCCCAGATCTCTTCACATAGTTTGGAGTTAGCTTATGAAAACTTTAAGACAGAAGAAATCTTGAGAGCTGTGCTTCCGGAAGGTCAAGATGTACCTTCAGGGTTTAGCCGAATTGGACATATAGTCCATCTGAATCTTCGAGATCATCAGCTGCCATTCAAACAGTTAATTGGTAGGTACAACATAGAAAAACTTGGGTTCACTGTGTATGTTCTAATTTTAGTTATGTAAAGTCTAGAGAGGCAATATGACAGTGAATGGAGGACTGTTCTCAGGAAGACATGGGTTCAAGTGCTGCCTAGGACATAGACTAGCTATGTCACAGGCAAGTCATTTAACCTTTAGGTCTCAAGAAGTTTTCTAAGCTTACAACTTACAAATGAATTGAGGATCTGTATCTGTAGAGGGAGTCTGCACAGTGGGAGTCTAGTTCCATTTCTCTCCTTGAACATAGATCCCCTCCTGTTTGTCCAACTAATGAAATCAAAAGTCTGGACCAAAAACAAGAGTTTTATTTTACAACTGCCAGGTTATAGGAGGAGGACGTTTTCCCATTTTAAGTTCAGGCCATGTTCTGAGCTGTAATCCACCCTATTTGAAAAGCCATTTAGAACATCCTCTCTGGAAGATGTATATGTGAATAAACTTAGTTGACTGTCTAGGTTTTTATAGCCATCAGTACATAAAGGTATAGATTTAAAAATTCAGAATTATTTGCTGTGCCAAAATTCACTGGGTTGGCATATTGTAACAAGGGCATTGTTGGTACTTAGTGATTATTGATCTTTAAGTCAAAATTTAGATCACAAGGTTTTGTGAATTTTTGATTTAGGTCTGAATGCAAAATATTGTTTATTTTTCTGGCTACAGATCTAGATTTTTGGCTAGGTTCATTATTCCTTGGCTACTCATCCTGAATAGTCTTATAATTAGTATAACACTAATTTGTTGGAGATGGGGATGAAGAATTAATAGTATAAACCCAGGCAAATTAAGGTTTTTTAGATGTAGAATAATTATTAATAGATGTAGGTATTATGCTCATCTTTAAAATGTAACTCCACCATTTTGTTCAGGTAAGACTTGTGAATTCTCTTTTATGTTTTTCTTTTCCTTTTTTTTTGATTATTTATTTTTAGTTGTGAACATTCACTTCCATAAGATTTTAAGTTTTACATTCCTCCCCCAACCCCTTCCATCCCTGCTCTCCCCCCCCCCACAGTGTGCCATCTGATACAGGCTCTACTTATTAATCAGGATGTAAAGAACAAGTAGAACTAATGGGAGGAACAATGAGAATGAAGCAATAAAACAAAACAACAAAGGGAAAGGCGAGCAAGTAGTCTGCTTCCACCTGCATTCAGACTCCTGTAGTTCTTTCTCTGGAAGTGGATAGCATTTTCCATTGTGAGTCTTTTAGAGTTGTCTTAGATTCTTGCACTGCTGTGAAGAGCCAAGTCTATCTTCAAGTCAGTCATCGCACAATGTGGCTGTTACTGTGTACAGTGTTTACCCTCTTCTGCTCATTTCATTCTGCATCAGTTCATATAAGTCTTTCCAGGTTTTTTTTTGAAGTCTGCCTGCTTATCATTTCTTATAGCACAATAGTATTCTATTACATTCATATACCACAACCATATACACCACTTGTTCAGCCATTCCCCAATTGATGGGCATCCCCTCAATTTGTAATTCTTTGCCACCACAAAAAGAGCTGCTATAAATATTTTTATACATGTGGGTCCTTTTCCAGTTTTTATGATCTTTTTGGGATACAGACCTAAAAGTGGTATTGCTCAGTCAAAGGGTATGCACAATTTTATAGCCCTTTGGGCATAGTTCCAAATTGCTCTTCAAAATGGTTGGATCATTTCACAATTCCACCAATGTTTTCCTTTATTTTTAATGACAAAAAAGTTTGCTATTTGAATGGTGTGACCAGAATATTGAATGCTACAAGCAGATGTTATATAGTTATACATAAATCCCTTCTGGCATTCCTTTTCATGATGTTTCCTTTCCCTCACATAGGAACTATCAAATTCTCAGAAATATTTTTAAGGAGTAAGTATAGTAGATAGAGAAGGCTGGAAGTCAGTTCGAGTTGCAGCTCTGCTACATATTACCTGTTTGTACCTGGTAGAATCACTTAACTTCTCGGTGCCTTGGATTACTCTCTCAAACTAAGTTGTCAGAGTCTCCTTTGTAGGCTCCATTATAAATTCCTTATTAGATATTCTCCAGGTATTCTCCAGGACTCTGTCTTAGGCTCTCTTATTTTACCTGTATACTCTCTCTGTGACCTCATCAGCTCCCACAGGTTTATTATCTATATGCAAATGACTCATAGGTTTATGTCTAGCCCTAATCTCTCTCCCTTGAGTTAACAGACCAGCTTCACCAGTTGTCTGATATTTCAAACTAGATGTTCTAGAGACATCTTTATGCCCAGAACAGTATTCATTTATCTTCCCTCCCTGCCCTCCAACCCAACTCCTCTTCCAAATTTCCCTATTTCTGTTGAGGTCACCTTCTTTCTTCTCGTATCTCAGGTTCATAACCTTGGTG